GTTTTTCTTGAGAGAAGTTGTTTTTCGAAATCGAGTGAATCAAAAAATGAAACATAAAACAGAAAATGAGATCAATCAAGATTGATTTGATAATGATCAAAATAATCTTTGAACATTTTTAGTTGATCAATGTCAAACGTTTCAAGTAAATTCTTTGTCAACATGCGATAAGATTCGACAATTGATGGATGATGAACTGTCAAAGCAAAATTGTACACAATTGGTTGTCGTTCATTTGGATCATTTCGACATGTTGAGCAATGAGGTAATTCAACTAAATCATTTAGATTTGTATAAAATTCACGTTTGATCGGATTAGCTGATAAACATTCACGACATGGAATCTAAAATCATCAAATTGAAAGAATTTTTTGAAGTTTAATTCAATGAAACAAATGAAATTCTTTGAGAAATTTCATGAAAAGATAATTTCTACTTTGAAACATACATATTCACCACCAAAATGAATAGCTGAATATTCAACAAAAGTCCATTGATTTCCATTTCGATCGATTGTTGAACTTATTTTGAAACCATCGAACAGAACGGGTCCTCCAGATGATCCATTTAAAAGACATTCATTTGATAAAATACATTGATTTTCAATAGTAAAAATTTTTTTAGAATCTTCAATCCATAATTGATGATTATCATCTAATTTAAATGGAGCAAGAATTCGACCATAACTAACTGTACCTATTCAAGAAAACAATTTCACAATAATGTTCAATGAGTTTTCGAATGAAGAATTTCATTTAACTTGAGAATCAAAAGGAAATGAGAACACTTTAATCAATGAAATGATCTCGTCTTTAGTTTTATTCTCAAATACTACTCGTCTAACTTTCTCATTTCTATCATGGAACTTTTCAACAAAGATAGATTTCTTGATAAAAATCATTATCGATATAACAGAAACGAGTTGAAACGAGACAAGTTCAATTGATACTTATCAATCTTTGTCAAACACACTTGAAAAGGAAGAACATTTTTCTTTTAATCATTCTATCATTGATCAAAAATATTTGACCAATTTCAAAATTGACTGTCGATTGGATTTTCACCAAAAAAAAAAAGTCACTGAGAACTGAACTGAATCAATGCTCAATCGACATCAAATTCGAGTCAGAATCAACTAATTGACAATTATCGTCGCTCGAAATTTCGTTCTCACGATTTCTCAATTATCCAGAAGGACATTCTTAAAATTTTGTTTCAAATTCAATTCAAACATTGACAGAAAATGGAACAACAATAAGTCAAAAATTGATACAAAACTTAATTCAACAGAATCGATCAATGGTAGAAACCTATTTTGATCAATTCTGCATATGATTAAAGGAAACAACTTACGTTTACCAAAACCACCGATGAGATTTTCCACAATCGGAAATATAGTTGTTAAAGAATTCCGATATCGAGTGGGAGATATATCTTCTTGTCGCATTCCTAAAACAAAATCAATTGTTGATCAATTCACAGTCAACTTCGAATCAATGATTACAATAAAAAAATGTTCTTTTTTTTATTCAAGATTTTTTGTAAAGAAGAACTTTTTGTTGTTTTTTTCAAATAAAATCTTTGAATTGATCTTAACTTCAGTAGTTCTTCTAGACTATGAATATCTCTCACCTTCTAAACCTGGGAAACTGATAGTTGCTATTGCTTGACCAATTTGACCAACACGCATTGATGGAACAAATAAAACATGAGATTCAAGATGATGCATCAATGAGACCACACAATAATCTGGATAATCAAAATCATTTTGAACACCGAGAAGAGGATCCATTCTGATATGTTTGTTAAAGGCTTCAGAATTATCTGTACCATTATATTCATATTTTGATACTGTTGGATAAAATTTCTTCCATTGAGAACCTTCATCAGTATAATAAGATTTGATGATATCGAATGATGATTCAATATTAAATTCATCGATAAACATAGGAATTCTATGTCGAGGAGGATTGAGAACAAGTTGTGCCACATGATAACTGCTAGCTACACAAGTGGGTCCTACTCTATAACATGTTCCATTACTTTTACCTGATATACATCGAGCAACACCCTTTACTGCCTCCACCAGATTAATAGCATTTTCAGTGAAAAAAACCTTTCCATCTTCAGAAATAAATGGAGATTTCAAAGCTTCGAGAAGATTTTCAACATTTATTTCATTTGGTAATAGAAGAATATCAAATGTTATATCAGAATTATCATCATTACTGGATAAGCAAGGTGCATTGAGAGCTGATGCAGATATATGATGACGTCCATGAAGACATATCACATCTGGTCGTTCGCGTATGAAACGCATTATTGAAATAAAATCAATAATATTTTTTTTGCACAATATTTCTTCTGAAATAAACAACATAGAAATGAGAAAAAGTTAAAGTTTTATTCGTAAGAAAATATCAACTTCATCGACAAAATTTTCCAAATTCATTTCATAGGATTATGTATTGTATTTGATTCGACTATGATATGTTTGTTTGTTTGTTTTTTAAGTCGATTATAGACATTCTTCTCTAACAGTAACTACTTTTTCATTGAACAGATGTGTGTTCTATTGCATCGTTTTACAACAATTATTGGTAGATGTCTCTCATTTATACTTTACTTATAGTTGTCTAAGACCTTGTTCAATAATTTTCACGAATGTTAAATTGAATACTGAAAGTCAATTGTTGAATTCGATTAACATTTCGATTAGCCTATCAATGTATTGCTTTTTCAATTTCATTTGATATCACTCTCTTTCAAGAACTTCAGATAAAATCAATAGGCAATGATAACGGCAATTTTCTGTGAAAATCGACAGACAAGTTAGGAGAGTCGTTTCTGAAGTAAAATATTCAATATGGAGAGTGAGACCATTGACGAGTATTAATTCTCTTTCGATGTTAGTAAAATTTGTATTATTAATTAAGGTCCAATTCGACCTATAATTCCTAGATTCCTCTTTGTCTGTCATTCTATATTTCTTTCATATTTTGATCGATTTTCCATTTCTTTCTTATAAGTTCATAGAATCTTTCAAAACTCTAAAAACTATAGGAAAATTGATTAAAATATATCGAAGATATAGGACATATTAGAGAATATAGGAATTATAGAATGCACAAAATATAGGATTGATCGGACTCTAGCTTATTAATTTTCCAGTAGTGTCAAACTTGAAAGTTGAATTCAACTATTCAACTATTAGTTCAACTATTCAATTATTGAATAGTTGAAGTTTCAACTATTCAACTATTCAACTATTTAATAATTGAATAATTGAAGTTTCAACTATTCAACTATTCAACTATTCAATAATTGAATAATTGAAGTTTCAACTATTCAACTATTCAAAGTATATGATGGTCTCCATGGTTCTCTGTCACGGTCTATGATGGTCTCTAGGGTTCTCTGCCACGGTCTATGGTGATCTCCGAGGTTCTCTGTCGTGGTCTGTGATGGTCTCTAGGGTTCTCTGTCACGGTCTATGGTGGGTCCGGAGGTTCTCTGTCACAGTCTCTGATGGTCTCCTGGATTCTCTGTCACAGTCTGTAATGGTGTCTAGGGTTCTCTGTCACGGTCTGTGATGATTTCTAGGGCTCTGTGTCACGGTCTGTAATGGTCTCCGATAGGGCTGTCAGCGTTCCCCGTTCCTGAGCGTTCCGTTCCTAGGAACGGGAACGCTTGTCAAAATCGCATTTCCGCACTTTATTTCGACATGGTGGGGTTTCTAGACATCTCCACTTTTCTTTTTATGTTTGAGTGTTCAGCGTTCCCCGTTCCTGGGAACGGGGAACGCCACCCCGTTCTCGTTCCTAGGAACGGGGAACGCAATATACATTTCTTTCACTTTTAAAAGCTTTTCGAATTCAACGAAGAAAAAGAAAATTTCATAAAAATCATGAATTTTTATAAAGTTTGACCAAAAGTAATGGAGGTTAAGGAATCTAAATCTGCAATCAGTTTCTGAAAATTTTGAGTTTGATTTCTCTTGTTAAGGAATGGGTATGTTTGAAAAATAATAGTTTTTGTAAATTTTGATTAGAGGTAATTGAGGTCTAGAAATTTGAAGCAGTAATCAGTTTCTCAAAATTTTGAGTTTACTTTTTCTTACTAAAAATATCTCTTTTTAGTAAAAAAAATTGAGTTTTTAAAGAAAAAGAAGTTTTTGCGAAAGAAAGATCGTTTATGAAATTCTTGTTATAACATTGTCGTTATAATTTCCTTTAGTACTGTTTTGCCATAGCGCTTTTTACTATTAACTATTCATTGCAATATTTTGTGTGATGCTGTTATAATGCTGGTTCGTGATTTGTTCCCTAGCAAATTATTGAATGCTAATAAAAAACTTCGACTTATCTTTTGGTGTGGAAATGAAAGAGACCCATTAAAACATATTTTGTGTTCTTATCCTAGCAGTGCTTCAAATTAACGAAGAAAAAATTTAAGTTATTGAACAGTAGTTTCCATAAAACTATTATTTAGCTTAACTGACTATAAAGAGGTTCTACAGATATAAAATCTCTTCATTTCGTTTAATCGTGATATTAAGTATAGAGAAAGCTTAATTATCAGATAAACTCAGTGCCTGATTCAAAGAGAGATATCTTTCATGATAAAAGCAACTTTGATGCAAATTAAAGATTTGGGTCGTAAAAGCTTCGTAGCGAAAACGTCAAAATAAAGCGATCGATGCTGAAGATGTCGACAGTTTAGAGTCGAAAGTAAAATTGTCGAAGCTTAAATGCAGAAACTAAAAAATATTAAGGGCACACTATATGAGCGTGCACGAATGTAGGCAATTATGAATACGATTGTATGCGAGTGTACTGGCGAAAGTTTGGATGTGAACGAGAAAGTGGGTGATTGTGTGGATTAGTGTTGGTGAAGGGAGATATAGGCAGCTAAGGATGAGTGGTGGCGTAGCTAACGAATGTGGGTGCTGATGTATCTTTTTTCTAAAGCTATACTAACATTTCCATTGAGGCAGAAAACTTCGCAACAAACAGTTTTAGAAACTCGAATGAACACGTACAATCGATAGTATAACTATCTCATTATAGTATCTAATCTCCTCAATAGTTTGCCTTTAATCGTGGCAAGAAAAAAGTTACTATTGTGTAACGAGAAGATTATTGAAGGTTAATAAAATGATGTTTCAAGTCTTTTGCTTGTCTTTCAAGTGTTGCTTGGTCAATGTAATAAGCGCTCTATTTGAGCTGACTTATGTAAGTTTTAATCTTCTGAAAAAGTAGATATTCAGAATTCTCCAGCTCAGTTTTCAACATTTTCATTTTTCTTTTACTCAATCTCATACTTTCCACATTTCTGAAAAATTCAAGATTTTACCATTTGCGTATGCAAAGATATATACAAAATAAATAATATTGATAATATCTTTGGGATATTCAATATACACTCAGGATGAAATTCGTAAAAGTTTCTCAAATATTAAGTCTCCTCAAGCATTCTTCTTCATTCTTTTATGGGAGGCTTGAGTCTTTCGGATACTAATGGCTTGGCTGTCTATAGCGCTATCCAGCATCTAGCTGAACACAATCTCGTTCAAAGAGTTTCCACTTACTAAATATAAGATCAGAACGAGATTCCTAAAATCTTTACAAATATCTGAGCCTCCCAAAACTCTCGTTCCTTTTTTTTAGGGTCGGCTCAAGTCTCCCCAAGCCTAATGGCTCCGCCGCTTCTGACTTTACTCAATAATAAGTCATATTTTTACAATTGCACTTTCCTCAAATTCTAAGATTATTGTTTCTTTATCATTTCAAAATCTTTCTAAAGTCAAGCAGACAAGATAACAAAACTTTTTATGATAAATATAAAAATACCACGGCATCATAAACATTTTCAATGCGTTGACTATTCCTCTGCATAAAAGAGTCTCTAGTAGTAATGTGTTAAAGTGTTTCAAAAAAAAATACAATCATATGTGCCTGCGATCTAACATCAAAATGAATATTACTTTCAGAAAAAACCAAACATCACCTTTCTCAAATCGCGTTCTCTAATCAAACACGAGATTACGATGAGATCTCTAAATTTTTTTCAAGTATCTGAGCCTCCCCAGGTATAAGGGCTTCGCCGCCTCTGCGACGAATTAGAATATTAATTATCATATGTTATTGGTGTTTCTAAGTAGCAACACCAAGCACATTTCTTAATTTAGCTTTATTTGTTTAGTGTGTTGGATCATATATATATATTGACCTTTCTCAGATGAAACAAATAGAGAATGTAAAAATAAATATGTTATGTTTATGTTCATGTTCATGTATCGAATTGAATGATCTAACCGATGCAATTCTTTTGCTTATATTTGAAAAATTGGACAATTTTGATATACTTTATTCATTGCATGGTGTTAATAAACGATTGAATAAAATAATACGTGATCCATTATTCACAAGTAGTCTAAACTTTGTCAAATGGTCATCGAAGAAATTTCTTAATAAATTTTCTTCGAATATCATATTTAATCGATATTGTTTACAAATTTTACCTGATATATCTATGAAAATCAAATGGCTTTACATTGAATCATCATCTGCGAAACATATTCTACGTGCTGCAGATTATTCGAACTTATATGGACTTGCCCTATATAATATGAAAGAAAAAACAGCTAGACGTCTTTTTACTGGTAAGAATATCTCAATAGAATTTTTTTTTGAATTGTAAACAAATGAAAAAACACCTTAAAGTAAATACGAATATTTTCCTGAAATTATTAATATACTTAAATAGGTGATTGAATATATGAAAGAATTTTCTCTAATTTATATTTCAATATAAACTTATCAGTGACGGATCTAGTTTTTTTATGATGTGAAGCGATTCGTTGTCACTAGGATAGAGCCCATCGGATCCAAGAATTTTTAGATCCGGACCCTGGCGGATATGGGTCCAGGTTGGACCCAATGGGCCCCTAGACTAGAGGCACTTCAGTGGAGGGGGCTAGGCACGGTTATAATCATGGAACATAGTATCAGATTATTTTTAAGACTTTTCTGCTGAGAAAAAGCGAAAATTTTTTTTTTGGGCTAGTAGCAATCGTCCCATCACCCTCTCTCCCTAATCCGCCACCGAAACTTCGAATAATTTATAGAAATTTTGATTTCTGATTGTATATTTGTGTATTTAGATAAAAATCTTTCATGTGGTATTTTTAAAAAGCAAATAACAAGACTTATTATAACAATTGATCAAAAGAAAAAAGATCTATTTACAAAAGTGAAAATCTGCAGTTGTATTTTTTCTATATTTATCAATTTAACACATTTAACATTTTCTGAATCATCATTTGAAAATATTGTTCGATTATTAATTGATGTACCATTTCGAAGTTTCTCTTCTTCAAGTCTTTTGGCATTAAATATCAAGGTTCAAAGTTTCTCACAATGTCTTTATATTCTTGATGGTCGTTTCAGTCAACTGCAAACACTCTATGTTGATTTGGCTAAAGTTCTTTTAATAGATCTACCTGAAAATAAAGTTTGTTTATTTAAAAGAAAATAAATTTCATATTTGTTTTTTTTGCTTTATTATTCTAGGTAAAAATTGCAAATCTAAAGTGTTTTGTTCTCTCATGTCCTTGGGAAATATCATGGTATGAAGAATTAATTCTATCACTTGTTTATCGAATGACAAATTTAGAAAAACTTGGTTTATATCTTACGTTCTATGCTAAAGATAGATTTATTGATGGAAATCATATAAAGACAAATATATTGTCACATATGCCTCAACTAAATATATTTACATATCATATTCATTCACTTATGTTTATTAATAATCAAATAAATTTACCATCAAAAGAAGATATTCAACATCCATTCATAGATTTTAAGGATACTAAAATAATATCTTATGTTGATTATTTTCTTGAAAAACAACTAGGTTAATGTCATGTTTATTCATATCCATCTGAAATGCAATATTATCAAAATCTAACAAATAATTTTCCAGGTGGATTATATCAATATGTTCGTTTAATATCATTATATGATGAACATCCTTTTGAACATGAATTTTTTATTAAAATTTCTCAATCATTTCCATTTTTGAAAAGTTTAACATTGATTAATAATCAATCACAAATATATAAACAATCTTATAAATCAATAAATAATGATTATAATTTATTAATTGTTAAATATAATCATCTTATTACACTTGATATTTCAAAAGTTCATGAAGATTATATAGAAGAATTTTTATTTAATAGAAAAACATATTTTCATAATAATATTTTTCTTCATATAAATAATAAATCATTAGAAAGAGTAACACACAATTTTACACGAGATGATACACGAATTAATTGTGCCAAAATAAATGAAATTATTTTAGTTGGAGATAAAACTTATTCGAAATCTTTGCGAGATTATTTTCCTATTGCAATAATACATTGATTATTATTTTATTCAAAGATGAAATATTTTTGAAATATATCTATCAATAGAAATAAGTGTATGTCATCTTCTATGAAAAGTTCTTATCTGTCAAATAGTTTTCTTTCTTAATTTAATAAATATATATATTCAAATAATACAAAACATTTAAGTGTCAACAAATAAAGGCGACTATAAGGGTTTGACTACACAATCGAATATATGTAGATTTGTAGAGGAAGACTTACTCTATCTACTAGGACATATTTTATCAAATTCTCTTATGTTGAGTAGAAGAAACTGTTATTGACAAGAATGAATTCTACAGTTCTTTAAGTTGGTGCTTCTGTATCAATACTTAAATATTCTAAAATCAAGACAAAATCTAATTCAATCATATGTATACTGTTCGAGATTTCACATTATCTACTTTTATAATCAATGTTATTCTTTTCTGTATTGAAGTTTTAATATAATCAATAATAGTTTCAAAACAATAATGCTATATAGTTTTCATTATCTCATTTGATAATTAACACTAAATTGTAAAGATTTCTCTGCTTTTCAAACTAACATGTAGAATATTTTCAATAATATTTTGAAATATTTAAATGTATATAAATAAATGAAATATTTGATGACTAATTAAAGATTTATTTTTAATATAATTAAATCAATTAATATTTTATGAAAAAAGTAAAAACAAATAAATTAAATAAGAATTTTTTTCTAGTTATATTTATTAAATATTTTCAAAAATAAATCGTTTAAATAGAAAAAATTTCGATAAAAATTTTAATTGATGAAAATTCAAGATGATTAAATAAAAAAATTTAATAAATCACAGCTAATTTATTTGTTAAAGATTATTGATAATATTATTATTTCTATAGTATTATTCAGAATTTATTTATTTTAATTTAAACAATTATATTCATAAGAATATTAGAAAATCTGTTATTTAGATAAAAAAAAAATTTTTTTTCTATATATGAATATAATCAAATATATTTTATCATTTATTTTTATTTTATTTTAAAAAAGATAATATTTATATTAAAGAATATTTTCAAATTTTTCATCTTCATTTTCGATTTTCTGTTTTCTTATTATAATTATAAAAATAAAAAATTTCACTTGGTTAAGATTTTCTTCGTTTGATAATAAAGATTGACAATTTTCAAATAAAATATAAAAGTATAAATTTAGTTTTTGTTTTTATCTATGAAAATTCTATAACGATATTTTCATTTTAACGAAAGCAAAGAGAAAATCGATAAGAAAATATTTCTACTAATTATCTTTATTTTTCCTAAGTTTAATTTATATATTTATAAAGAATAAATTAATTTTTTTCCAAATGTTTTTCTAAGACATGTTTATTAAATTGATTAATCGAATTAGATTGATATTTAACTGTATATAAATCTATAACATTCATTTGTAAAAATTTTCAACAAAATCAAAGAAAAGAAAAAAAGAAACACATCAAAGTGAATCTGAAGAAAAATCTCTCATATTAAATAAACAAAGAAATGTTGGAAATTTTTTGTAAAATTAAGAAAATATTTCGATAAGATTTGACAAATTTTATGATTATCTGTGATCGATGTTTAACATTGATAAATAATATATAAAAAGGATATTTACATTCATTTTATATATAAATGAAATGATTGATTACTAATTGAATATCAAACACTTGGAATATTCAATATATTTAAATAATTAAATAATTAACATTAGAAAACATTAATCAAAATAATTCTTAAATAAAAACAAATGTTAGTGGCATAAATGATTATGAATTGACTATCGAACAAATATTCTAATAAACAATTGAAAATATTTGAAATCAATATTATAAATATCAAACGAATCTTTAGAATAAATACGAATAAAAAAAGTTTTTGTTTCGACTGTCAAAGTTCAAAAATATTTCGAAGGAAATTTTTCAGTGATTCATATGCTAAAGTTTATTCGGAATTTTTTAAATATTTATTTGATAGAATTATTGATAAAGAATTCTATAGAAAAAACTTCGAAAAATGAAGAATTTTTTTCAAATAGAACAGATTTATATTTAATATTGACTAATTTAATCATAAATCGATCTTTATTATTTTATTATTTTTTGATTGTTGAAATCGATCATTCGATTAATTTAGTTTATAAATTGTAGATACATATTATTTTATATCTTTCAAATTAAAATTAATATATTTATTCTAAATCATCAATCGAAATAAAAATCCAATTTTTATCAATTTTCAATAATTTTATTTTATTTTATTTTTTTTGATTGTAAAGATAATTTATCATCTCACTGTTAAGAGAAATCAAAGAATTTTATCGATTTTCAAATATATTTTTATTATAAGAAGAATATTTTATTGTTAAATATATTCGATGAAAAACTGATGATGAATATATTCTATCGTTTATTTATCAAATTTATTAAATATTCAAACAAAAAAAAACATAGAATCATTTAAAAAATAAATTCCTGAAACTGATCAGTCAAATATTCATTTTCTACTATTTATAATATATATCGTTGATATGTATATGAATATATATTTAGATAAATTCATATTCGTTTATATTTGATTTTAATTATCGAATAAAATTAATCATTAATAGCAAAAACATAATAATAAGAAGAAACAATTAGTTCTATTGAAAAATATTTTAAATTCTTATTCTTTTTCATTGATTGATCAAAATAAAACTTTAAATTCGATAAAAAATTGATTGATGAGCCTTGTTTACCTAAATATTTTTTAATTGATATTATATTTAATCTATAGAATTTTTAGATACAAAAATAATATTTATAAAATTATTATTGTTTTATATATGAAATAAATGCGGACACTTCGGATTTAAATCCGAGAGTTATGTGAACTTCAATAAGTCAATCATACGAATCAGTCATCCCAGAATAGAACTTCGAACCGAATTAATTTCAAAATTAAACTCTGCACATTGATTTACTCTAAGGCCGAATTCACACCGACTAACTCAAAGTGAATTAAAACAGAATTAACGAATAAGTCATCTCAAAAAGACGATTTAAGTCGGAATAGACCAATCGTGTCGCTCATTTTGTTTTATCTTTTTTTTTCAGTGTGAATTCGGCCTAAGAAAGACGTTATTCATAGAACTTCATTTCTATTGATCACTGATTAACCAATTGTATTTCGATGAAAGTCGAGTACAGATTCGAGTTCTTCATATCTGAAAACCTCGAAGTATCATCAGTGTGGTCGGAAGATAAAGTTCTATTTGTGGATCACAATTAGATCGTCGACCAAAATATAACCTAGTTCGCTTTAATTATCATTGTCATAGGTAAGTCAACCTTCTTGTTTCTTTATGTTTTATATATCATTTTGTAGTTCTTGAAATTCTCTATCGAACGGTATATAATAGTTGGGGTTTTAATTGACTATGATAGGAAAAATCTTTTAAGAAAGTCGCGATGGTTCCATTTTTCCATAGAAAGCTATAGGAAAAATGGGTATTTTTACAATAACTCAGGAACCGCTCGGCCGATCCTTCTCATCTTCTTCTCTCGACCGAAATATTGTCAAGACTAAGCTGTGTAGAAAATTTCATCGCAATCTGACTCTCCTTTCGAAAGTTATTGTGTAAACGGCCGGACGGACACACTGACCGATTCTAGAGTGTACTCACTTTTTGAGTACATCATACAAAGGAGGTCACTTAAAGAGGGCGTAGTAAACTTAGTGTTGTTATTAGATAGCATGCGTAACATTACCAGTTGATGAGTTAAGACAACACTTTTTTAATACTTATTTGAACGATTACGTTGACGTAATATTCGAAAAAGACCTCGCTTATTGACCAATTTCAAATCTTGAGTGTGCGATTGATTCTGTTTTTGACTAAAAAATTAATTATAAGAAATTATTTTCTGATTAAATGAATTCTCTCGTCTAAAGATTGTGGAATATACAGAATATCTGAGATATTTGAGAAATACAACACAATCTATACATTGATGATTACTTTAAATCTTTGTCAACTATGAACAAAATTTGTATTGTAAGAATATTAGCTGAAAATTGTAACAAATTTAATATTGAATCCTCAGATTCAATCAATATGAACAAACCGTGAAATTGTCTAATGTGAAAGATCCTATACTTTGCAATATTTATTTCTATAATCAAATAAGAATTTGTAGATTTTTTTCTTTTCCCAAAAATTACTAAATCGAACTATAGGTTATTGTCAGATTTGTAGATGAACGAAAAAGTAGTATCTACGCTCTTTGATATATCTTGTTTAATAAGTAAATTGTTTTTCTTCTGAAAAGGGTTATGTTCAACTTTAGACGTCTTTAATTTCGTAATGATCGTAGGAAATCCTCTTTTTATTATAGAACATTTAAATATTGTTTATTGAATAAATATATGTGACACTAGATTGATATGAAAGAATTCTTTCGGTAAATGTCATTTGTTTGAAAAAAATGACCATGTTTTTGAAAATATGTTAAGATATTTCTTATTTTCTAAATAAATTATTGAAGCTTTATATATATATTTGAAAGATTTGTTTTCTATTTAATCAACAATAACAAAAGAAGAAACTTTTCTTTCGAAGAAAATGATAAACAATATAAAAATAAACATAAAAATCTTTCTATGGATCTTGTCAACGGATTTAATTTTTTTTTTATTTTTTAAAATTGATGTAAATTTGAAAATCCATTGAGACAACAAATAAAAAATGATACTGGAATAGTAAAAAAATTCTCATATAAAAGATAAATAATCTATGAAAAAAATTTTATTTTACAACGTTGAAAAATAGCTAAAGAACGAGTTATTATTGAAACTAACCATGGTGTTCACATTAAACTTAATCCAATACGTATTATTGATAAAAAGAATTTTAACAAAAGTATATACCATTGAAAGATTTATTAATACTTATGATAATTCATCTAATGATTTAAAATTATAATAAGTCCGAA